AACTCAGAACCTAGTTAATTCGATTCTGAATGCATTTTTATGCTTTAGAATTGATTTCTAATGCACAATTTTTAATTAGCAAAATCTCGTTTATAATTATTAAGTAAGTATACAGTTATTGGAAGGAAATGTTCGATCCGTCCCGGGATACGTTTCCATCGATACTAAATACGTAGGAAAGCTCAGTGCATCAGTTTTAATGAATAATGATGTTTATTAATCAAATTTGTAAATTTATTATCTTTTTATAGAAGTGTTTTCCGAGAAACTATTTTTTATTAGCTTTGCAATTAGCCATAGCAGAAGAAGGAGTACATAGAAAATGTGAAGAGTATTTCATCAATTATCAATTAAAAAATAAGAGCACATTTCTTCAGGTAAGCACTTAACAATACACAAGCTAACATTTTTGAAAAACTTCAGATCCTGCTCACGATTAAAAACACAATCAAAATGCAAATAACTCGCAGTTTTGGGAAATAATTTTTATCTTATACATAATAATTATATACTTTAAATAAAATCATTTGCATATAATGTTTGCATGTAAAAACTTTAAAATAAATTATATAAATCATGCAAGGAAGTATTATGAAATAAATTTTGGTAAACATGACTTCAAGCAAATAAATAATAAATTTTACAAATCAAGCAATTTCAGACAAAATATTAATATATTTCAGAAATAAAGACCATTTACAAGATGTTCAATTCTTTCCATGTTAATAAGGCGATAAGAGTAACGAATATGTTTGAATGTTTTTGACAAAATATGCTGGAAATTAATTCTTCGGGAGTGTTAAAATTCAAATACCTATTAAAAGCATCATATACACTTCCTCAAATTAATGGGTCCTCAAATTAATGGGTCCGGACGAAAACGTTGCGGAGAAAACAACGCAAAGCGAATACGTCATGATGCAAAACATCGTGAGAGAAAAGAAAGCAAAGAGAAAACAACGCAGTTTTAAAACATCGTTGTACAAAATAGCGTGATCGAAAATGAAGCGGTTATAAAACTTAGCAGTTTAAAAACATCGTCGTTGAAAATATCGTAGTAAAAATAAAGTACCTACAAATCATTGTATGACGATAACATCGCACACATGCGTTTTCAGGTTTTAAAAGTTGTAAATGCATGTTCGCGTAATAATTTGGGAGCGCAAGAAGGAAAGAGGGATTCTTTTACTTCTGTATTTCATATTTTTGAATGAACTAATAAATTCTTGCTGAAAAATTAAGAAGGAAACTTAAGCATTTAAAAATTGAAAAATGAAAATACAAAATTAACACAACTTACAGAACTTAACAGGATATTTAAATTTACATAGTTAATTAACAAAAATTAACCTTTTTCATAAAGTTTTATTGATAATTTTTATGAAAAATACAGTCTAAAAATCCTTAGAAAAAGGAAGATAAATATCTGCATTAGGTTACCTCTATAAAAATTGCTTAGATAATTATCAACTTATTTTCTTTTACATTCGTTATTCTGATATTGGTTTAGTGAAAATTATATTTTGTTTGGTTTTCCTTTATTCTTAAAGTGTCGTTAAAATTTTTTTTTGCATAGAGTGCAATCAATTTTTTCTATACGATTTGTTCGTTTTGATAAAAAAAATCAGTTACATAATATGCCAGTATGGGATTTGAAAAACGCATGTGTGCGATGTTATCGTCATGCGATGATTTGTGGGTATTTTATTCTTTACCACGATATTTTTGATGACGAAGTTTTTTAACTGCGAAGTTTTGAAACAGCTTTATTTTCGACCACGATATTTTGTGCCACTATGTTTTAGATCTGCGATGTTTTCTCTTTGCTTTATTTTCTCACACGATGTTTCGTACCACGAATATTTCGCCTTGCGTTGTTTTCTACGCGACGTTTTCGTCCGCGATGTTTTTGCCGCGATGTTTTAAGCTGCAACCAAATTAATAATGCATGCTGGACTAATTACAACGCACATTGCTATCCATCTAACTTGCAGCACCATGAAAAGCAGTAGGTATATTAAGTCATATTTACTGGACAAAAAATATAGTACAAAAGTAAACTGATTAACGTTAGCAGTCCCATTATACTTTAAGATTACGAAGAAATCAGGATTTTGAGCAGCCGCCATTAATACCAGTAACTGTTTCAAAGTGCATAGGCACTGAAAGAAAGAGGCTTTGGAAGTGTGTGTGGGGTATGTCAGTCCATGGTGTTGCTATTCAAATGATGAGTAATAAATTTCATTTGGAATAGCCGAGGATAGTGCCAGCTGGGCCTCTTCTTTGCTAGTCATCAAACAGATGTATATAGCGGGTGACATTGGGGAAGCACGTAGTACTGCGACCTGGCAATGAAACATTATTGAGATTTGCTTGTCATTTGGGGATCGGGTATTGTCTTAATGAAACATGGTCGCAGGCAATCCTTGAAGGTAAGGTAAAGACAGCCGGTTCCAAATCTTGAGACATAGCGGTACCTGTTGAATGTGCCGCAATGCGTATTAGGTGATTGCGGGAATAAAATGTAATGGCGCCCCAAACCATAACTCCAAATGGCGGAAAGGTATGCTGTTGCATAATGCGAGGATCATGCTGTCCAGCAGGTGGTGTCATAAGACTCGAAAACCGCCATCGCGGCGCTTTTGGCAGACTAGAGATCCGAAAAAGCAGTGTTGCACCATTCATTTTTTACACGTTCGGTAGTAAATGCATCAGCACAACTGTGGTGTAGAATCAACGAGAATCGTCTCAACGAATGCCTTGCAAAGATTCCCCATATCATATATATCCTCCGCAGATAGCTTCGACCCATACGTGATAATACAGGTTGTCATGCAACAGACACAGTTAGTGCGTTAGAATTCTGTCGCTGTGAGATCCGTCATTCCCATGCGCAACATCGCTATCTCCTCGGTCGGTGGTGGGGCGTGCCCTGCTCTCACCCATTCAATATAAGTATCACTGTGGCTTGATTCAGTACATAATCTGTATAAGGCACAGTTCATGTTCTGTCAAACTCATAAACGCTGGAATGACTTCCTAGGAAGAAACCAATGCCATCGCCACTCATTTAACACTAGAAACACCGAGCTTCCTCCCTACCTAGAAGCGCCAACAGCAATCAAATTGACTGCTCAGCGAATTAAATGTGCATATAAAAATGCGAATGCTCTGCAATGCCTTTAAGGATATTAATTATAGTTGTTTGTTAACTTCTTTAAAGAACAACATATTACTTTTATAAAAAATAGATATTTTATTATAAATTTCAACTTACCCCTTAATAAAACGCATTTTGTAGTTTTTCGCAATTTTTACACAACACAACGTTTTCAATACTGTAAGTGCATTTTCCATACAAATATTATGAAAATTGTTTACACACATCACTGGTTTTGTTGTTGTTTCAAAGTCCAAACTGGCATTGACATATTTTCTTCGATAGTCTATTGCTAGAGTTGGAAATTTTCTGAGCCAATCTTGTGCTCTTTCTTCTGTTTAAATGAAGCTCTCTTAACGCCTCTGCTAACTGAAATAGGCAGCTATGCCTTGTACTATTTTTGTCACTCAATTTATGGTAGATAACATAGGCATTCATTCCTGCTAAATCCAGCAAAATTTAGAAACCATGCACAGGCCATCTACGTGAAGCAACCCGAGCAGAATATTTACGCGTTATCTGGTCAAGGATATCAACTCCACATTTGGTTTTGCTGTAGAACCCTACTATTTCTGGAAGTTTCTTCTTATTTTGTGAGTCTACATTTACACTTTTAATGTAAGGTACTTAGTGGTACGACATTTTTTTCCCATTTTCCCTGATAGACCGTCAGTGTAGTTTCACCATTCTTTAGCAAAACTGTTCCAAATAGCCGGGTTTTTTATTTCCTTACTTCATGCGGAATTTCTTTTCAATGTCTTCTTACTGTGCCCACAAAACTTGTGTATCATTTTAAGTCTTTTAGCTAATGATAGCGAAGGAAAATAATTGTATGCAATCAAATTTCTACCTGAATTCAGAGAATGGTTTAGATTCATTACTGAATTTTCTGGAAGACTTTCAGTTTTATTTTTTGATGTATCTTTTCCAAGATATGAAAAAAGCATTGCACATAAACTTTGAGTCTTCAGAGACTAGCATCGAAAATTTGATACCGAATTTGTCTGGTTTATTCGGGATATAATGTATAAACTTACACCTGGCTTTGGATGGAAAGAACTGCTCATTCACAATTATATTTTCTCCTGGCTCATAGGAAATAGCACAATTTTGTATAAAATGTTTCCAAATATCTGAAAAAAGTGCAAACTTATCACTTTCTAAACTTTGAGTCCTAGTTGACTTCAAGTCAAATCTTAGATATTTCATAATATCTCGAAAATGATTGCGAAACATTCTTTCTCGAATAAAAAGGAGGACCCAATGTATTATTCCACAAAAAAATCATAATCCATATCATTGCAACCATATGCTTCTCTTGTATAAATAATAGTAATAAAAGCATCAAGTTCTTCTAAAGATACTACCCAAATTTCTTCATGTTCAAAACTACCTCTGCTTCAGTGCACTTTTTAATATGGCGTAACATTGATTCATCCACAAACAACCTCCAAGCTCTCGACACATTGTCCCCGAAATTTCTTTTCGCATAAGATGTTGGACCTGGCAATTCTTTTAGTACATTTCGAGATCCGTATTTTTCAGCTGTAGTTTGTGATGTAGATGTCATAGTCCATGAAGAAAGGTGTTTTATGGGCGTAAGGGAAGTATATCCTGTTGTAACTAATCAGTGAATGAAAGGAATATATGTACGCCAGATGTTTTTTCGAAGAAAAAGTGTTTTCTGAGCGAGATAAAAAGATAAATTTACCCATTATTACTAGCAGGCAATATGACTGCTCTTGGCGCTTTTAGGTATAACTAATAGTATCTTCATTAATTTAAATTTTATTCGATTCATATTTGGTACCAATAATTTTCCAGGTTTTTTTTTTTTTAGGAAAATCCGAGCATTTGTGACATCTTAAGGTAAAGGACGTTTTAGGAATCCAAGATGAAATGACGAAAGCAGTCAAAATGACTGCTTTGGCGCTTCTAGTGTCAAGAATTAAATAAGAAGCGCAGGTGATCCAATTTTAAGTCCAGTATTACATGGATTTGCTTCTTAACGAATGCTGAACTACTTCATTTACGACAGCAGACCGAGGATTCATATGTGAGATAATCTTAGTAGCTATTTAAAATAATATTTTGACTTATTTTTCATAAATAATATATATGCAAGCACAATACACTTTCTTTCTCTCTCTATATAAATATATATACACACACAGGCACATATATGTATGAATTCCAAAAATAATTAGCTATACTTGACTACAATCACCTGCTTTTTTGTTTTTTGTAAGCATCAAAATTGCTTCGTCTTTGCAGTATGAAGAGCAACACATATAATTTGCAACACTCAGCTGTGTAGGATATTTAAATGTCATTATTTCTAGGAATTTGCTTTTCGAATTCTTTATGCTTAATCATAAGCTACGAGTCTTGCTATGGAAATCATCTACCAGTAATTAGCTACAAAAACCTTACCGAAAGGACGAAATAAAAGACTATGCAAACATCGGTACTTAACATTTTTTTAAGATTAATTCCTTTAATATTGGTTTGAAGTTAACCTAAAGTTTAAACCTGAATTTGTTATTCACAGACGCAGTTTGAGTGCAAAACATTTATTAAGCATAGACATTGATGCTGAAAGTCTGATCATATTATTTGCCTAAAGGACTTCAGTAAATTGCACTGCCGCACAGACAACGGGAAGGTGTTAGAGGAAAACGTTTAAATAATTTAAATTTTCCAAAATAAAAATCTATATATATATAAAGAAGTAACTCTGCGTGTTTGTTCGCTAATAATTCAGTCACTACGATAGCTATCATCACCAAACTTTCTACAATTCTTTTGTATGTCCTGGAAAATGTTGTCAATGTCCACCTCTTTCAAAAAAAAAAAAAAAAAAAAAAAAAAAGCTAAAATCAGAAATATTATTTAAATACCCTTAAAACGCTAATTTTGGCCCTCATTTTTTCGAGTGGAGGCAATGGTGCTGATATCAGTAACAATGGCTAAAGTGATATATCAGCAACAAATTTTATGCATTACAGTGATACATCATATTCCTTATGACGTGTAATATGCTATTATATAAATTTTTAAATGATGTCATGAGTAAAATAATGCATTATCCTCAATCTAACTTAATTGGCATTGGGTACTTCCGCTAGTTTTGAATAAAATGCATACACAAAATTTATCAGGCAGATATTTTAAGCAAGTTGCACTGTTCTTCAAGCCAAGAAAACGCGCACGTGGAGAGTTATTTATAATGATTTTATTGCTTTCGTACAAAGGTTTTAAAAAATATCTTGCTTTACATGAGACCATTAAATAATTTATAAGCTTCGCTTTGTAGCTTTAGAATAATTTGATTTTGATGGCCATCTTTTGAATACTTAGAAAAAGATATTTTTTTTGGAAATGTAAAATAATGTTAGCTGTACTTAATTTGTTCCTTTATGAGGTATTTTATGACAGTTAACCAATTTTTACGATTTGATTTTTTACTATAACTTCTTTCCGTTAGCTCTTACCATGATGCAAACAAGGCGTCGAACGTTTTAGATATAGAGCTTCTGGCAACAGCGCTTGCAGCTTACAACCCAACTCTGCCAGTTAATAGTTTGGCATTAGCCATTTGATAACTGTTGTTATATTGCTCCATCTAAGTTCAGCCCTCTTGGTTAAGCCAAATTTATATAGTCTTCGACTATAGTAGTTTTAATTTGTAAATTAAATTTTGTTATTTTATTACTCACAAATGACTGAGGTGATTGTACACACAAGTGGTGCCATCTGTTCGAATTAAAGTTTAATTAAAAAAAGAAGGTTTGTTAAAAACCTTGTCAGGACTTTGTCGCATTTATTATTATACGGAACAATAACTCTTTTGCTAGTCTGATGGGCTTTTAAGTTAATATTATGCACTTAAGACCCTACACCTTGAGTAACTGCATGCAAAGTTGAAAGATAGAAAATAATAGGGCTGATTGAGCAGCTTATTTAACTAACTTTTATCACAACTTGAAATTCAGAGTTGTTCGAAGAGGGAATGAAAATCACGTCTTGAATTAAATCTCTTGATTGTTTTAGCTTAGTATAGGTACTTCCTTAAAGAAACGAAAGACTGGCATAAAAGCTTAGTTGGAGAAACAACCTCGGCGAATATATTAAATAGGTGGTTCTATTTTATTGCTGTTCCAATTCCTAAAAGTAAAAGCAGTGGAATTCTGATTCCTTGTTATTGTTGTTGTCTTGGCCATGTATTTCATAGAAAAATGGTTGCGAGAGACTCAAGAAGATTAGACTTCTACTTCCACTCTAGTTTTGAGGAAGAGCATTCCCCGGGGGTATGATTCGAGGTTCTTCTACCCCTCTTCCCTACCACCTAACCACACGAAAGGGCTTCCAGCTTGCCATATATTAGAAGTGCCACAAAGACACTATACATTTAGAAACATCCATGCTCTGTCTGGGATTCGAACCCGGGCCCTTCCGTACCGCAATAGGCTCCCCTAACCACTATACCATTTGGGCGGCTTTTAGCTGCTTATAATATATTTAAGATGACAGATGTTTTCCGTAATAATTCAGCATATCTTTTAGAAAACAACAAAAATTTAAAAGATACCGTTACCAATATTTAAGAAGCAACCGTCTCAAATCTGTGTTGTTAAATTTTCTGCGTACGTAAACATATTAATTTTTTTATTTAAAATGGATATGTAATTCATACGTGTGATAAAAAAAGGAATGAATAATGAAAATAATAATGAACAACTGATCAGTGAAGTTTCAACATGTATTTTTCTAAATATATGTATGAAGTATTGAAATATAATTCTTTTCCTTAAATTAATTTTTGTTAAATTGGTAAGAATAAATCTTTAATGTTATAATATTAGCAAATTTTAGCCTATATTTAGCGTCAGTTTCAAATTAAATGGCTTAAGCATTTTGTAAAACGGAAAAGTCAGCATATATTGCAGTAAATTATTCTGTAAGAAATATATACATAACCTATTACCCTATATACACATTAAAAAAAGGCTTTTTGCTCTAGTTGGTAAGGGGAAAATTAAGCTTGTGAGATATGGAATGCAAATCTTTTCGATTAGTAAGAATTAAAAGTAAAGTATTAATTAAAATCTGTAAATGTTTATGGATATAAAAATTAAATGTAGCAAGTGAAGGCGTTTCAGGACAATAAGGAAAAATTTCAAAGATTGATATCTGAGATCAGAAACGGTTATAAATGGAAAGAGAAATTGAAAGAATGATTGAGCTGTGAGCTATGATAAGGAACGGACAGTTTATTAACCCTTCCTCTCGATTTGAAATTAATGTCAAACCTAGACCGTATTTTAGCAAACTTTAAATTTCCCGATGACATGCGTGCTCCCTGCGTCGAATAGAGAAGTTAATGATTTCAAAACTGGTGCATTAACAAAATGACTATTTAAAAAAAAACTAAAAGGCTTTTTAACTTCTAACTTCTAGGCACGATTTGAAAAAAAAGTTGGAAGCTACAAATTATTATATGTACTTTTACAGACAGCATGCTGAGACTTTTTCATAACTTCAAAGCAAAAATAGATTGATAAAAAAATACAGTTTAAAACATTTTCCATCCAATATGTTTCACGTTGGAACTCTTTGAATTTCAAAACCTGTTCCAATATCAAAAGATTTTAAGATGCAGGATAGAATGAATACATTTTTCCTTTGTTACGAACGTGATATCGGAATTCAGGAACATTTCAGCAAAACGATATTTCGTCCCATTTCATTGGGATGTTTAAAGTTTTCAATTGCTCCTCTAAATCATAGAAAGTCATATTGAGTTAAAATATTCCTCTCAAAACTTTTTCTTTCTCTATCTTCTTTTCGCATTTCGTAGAAAACAGAACTGCTTACAGAAGGCTGAAGTGCCGATTCGATATTGGGCTTCTTTCTGAAACCAGTGTCCGTTTGCAAAAATTTGCTTTTGTGTAAGAAACTGATGGTTCGAAATCATTTGAATTTTTCCTGTTTTTCGGTATTCGATAATTTCGTAAAAAATACTTTCAGAATTTTAGTTTCAATGCAAATTAAAGCATCATGATTAAAAATGACAAGACAAGCAGATGACTCATAAAGTTTATCGCAAATTTAATAATTTTTTAAATAAAATATAGTTTTAACATTGCAAATAAATACTCTGATAATTTAACTCGCCTAAGATAAGAATACAAATTGAAACAGGGCAGAAAAGGACATAAATGTTAAGAGTGAGCTTATTTCAGCATTAAAGCACAACTTGATCCTACTAATAATAGAACGAGGTAACTAAGCTTGGTGTCATCATTGCGTGGATAAACAGGGTGGTCATAAAACACTTTACCGATATATGAACCCCTAGGACGCTCAACCAATCCTCAAAAACGACCTATACGCTCAACCAATCTCAAATAAATTTCATTTATTGTTACTTGAAGGTATACCCTCAAAAATGTGGTGATTTAAAACAACCGAGCTTTCACGGTTACAGTTAGAATGAAAAATCGTCGACTTTTACGAATAATAACATCCACGTTTTTCCTGTACAAATTTTTCAGCGCAATGAAAAACCATAAAGGACGTGAAATGATACACATATGCTAAAAATGACCACCGTAAAACATTTGCAAAGAAGAGCATTGTAAAGCACCAATGACAATCCAAGATTGGAGAGGAAACACCTCTTAGTAGAATTACAAGCTTTCAATTTGCGCACCTTCACAAACGATAACGCATTGCACGAGAGAGTGACAAGAATGACGGACGTAACATCGCAAGAAGAATTTCTATAACTTATTAATGTTTTATTGCATTTTTAGTTCTGACATGTCTTGTGGATTTGATGTGTCAACATTAGATTTCATATAACCCAGAACCAGAAATCCATGGGACTGAGGTCGGGAGATCGCGGAGGCTACCAAACTGCAAAGTTACGAGAGATGACTCTACAACACATGTGGCGACGTGTTGAGGAGAACCATCCATATAATGCCATGAAATCTAACCGTGAGAGCTCTACTGTTTTAAATAACCGCAATCTCGAGCACTTACCTTGAAGTAACAATATCTGAAATTTTATTTCGATTGATTCAGTGAATAGGTTACTAGGGGTTCATATATCGGAAGTTCTTCTATGATCACCCTGTACAGCGAGCTTAAGCAGTCGTGGTAGTTTTCTTTTTCCACGCATCTTTATTTAAAGACAATTTCTAACGCCAAAATTCGGAGGAATGATGATTTCTTACTAGAAGGATGTTGGAAAGAAGCTCATTGTATTTGCCAATTATTGACATTTTACAGACTCTGCAGACTGCATGAGCTTTCATAAACATACTGCATCTTAGTTATATTACCTGCAGATTCAATTATTATTTATTTATGAGAACTGCCACATATCAGGTCCGATTGCTGCGTATTTGTTTTAAAAAATTGTCTCTTTATTTAAGGTAAGACATTTAATAGAATAGTTTTGTCACACAAATTAAATATCTAATAAATAAAAAAAAGGCTGCAGGTCTCCTTTTCTAATAATGCACCTTTTTTATCTACATGCAGGGAAACCAAAAAGTTATTCGTTCTATTTATGAAACAGTGAATTTGAAAACGTTTTATATTCTTTTAAAAGTAATTGTATTTTTTAAAATTTCTGACACTATTTTTGTGCAAATATTTTAACTACTTATCTTCTACAGACATTAGGATTTTTTGGAACAAGAGAGATTGAAAAATTAGCAACGTTTTCGCTGGGAATCGAACCACGGACCTCTGGAAGCCCAGCGTGTAGAACCACTACACCACGAAGGCACGCTAGGAAAAGCGGGAGAAATACCCTATATACTCCCCCTTTTAAAGGGCGACTGTGGTTTTTAGGGGACCCAATCGCCAAATCCTGGGTGATAGTTGAAGCAAGAGAATCATCATCCAACACCGTTTTAGCTCGGGTGCCACTGTAGAGACATTAGGAGTATTTTGGAACAAGAGAGATTGAAAAATTAGCAACGCCTTCGCCGGAAATCCAACCACGGACCTCTGGAATATCAGCGTGCAGAACCACTATACCACGAAGGGCACGCTAGAAAAGCGGGAGAAATAATCCTATTTACATATTTTACTCTCGCAGTTTTCCTTTCCTAATGAAATTTAATGATGTAAAATTCTAGAGAAGCACAATTATAATCTGCTACTTCACAGTCAGTATATAGATGTAATATTTCAGGGAACATAGAAGAGTAATCAGCTTGCAGTCATCGTGGCTGGGAGTGTAAGGCGGTATCCAACCTTTGGCATCCGAGTCTGCGCGTTGTTTAGCGGAGTGGGATACAGCAGAAATGATTGCATATTTTTGCTACTAATTGCATATTTTTATTCAATTCAAATAAAAAATCATTATTCTTTTAGATTCTCCAAGATTACATATGCGATAGTAAATTACACTAAATAGGATTAACTTTAAATTTACAGCGTCATACTATTCAATAAAAGAAAGACAAACGGCAAGAGGGACAGCAAAGGTCTGATAGCGGCAGAAGGAGAAAAGCAGTCTGACGAAAATGACGCGAATTCTACATTTACAGTAGCGTTTACATAACATCTTGAACGTTCTCGAAAGTACTGGTCTAGGGGGAGATCCTGAAATTGCGGAAAGTTACTTAGAGGTTGCCTGTTCGCGTAGAGCAAATCCATCGTATTTTTTTATATTTCACCTAGATACAATTCCAAAACCAGTTCAAAATTCACATGAAAGAAAAGCTGAGTTTGAGGCAGGCAGCAGAACAACGAAATTTTTTTCATGCTGTCATAATTACTATATTAATGCCAGGAATGTGCGTAAGCTCAAAATATGCTCTTCAAAAGCTGAAGTTTGTTTTCTTTGTAGACAACTGTATCTGTACATATTGTGAAAAAACTTGAAATTTATGACTTTATGGTGAATTTGTTATCACTTTCATTTAGATGGGTGACTGCTTTGTTATTTGCTTTTGGTTTAGTGTTCCCTTTAAGCTTTCAATACAGGTACTCATAAGGAGATATAGTCATAAAATAGCATACTGCCATAAATCGGTTACAAGTAAATACCTAAGAGTAAGCTATTGTAAGTAGGAGAACGAGAACAAATATAAAAATTCTCCAAAACCTTTTTTCAGACATTTTATCGCAATGCTTTACTTCACTTTTCTTTACCAACTGTTAACCTGTACGTCTACTGTAGAGGAATGCATTAAAGTTAACGCTCGCATTCCGGTTGAAACAAGATAAAGATATAGCAAATTAAAAAAAGCGATAAATTAACTTGCTGGGAAAAGAGAAAAAATACTTTCTAATATTTTTGTGGATAAGATAGTTGAAGCAAGAGAAGACTAGTGTACAAGCAAGAGAAGACTAGTACTGTATTTTAGTCTTTTAAGCCGTTTAAGTAGCATGTTTAAGTAGCATTAGCCAAGCATGTTTTAATTTCAAAGTTTCAGTTAAATGTTGAGTTGAATTACTGTGTGATGTTCGCGGTTTTACCTTTAGCTGCTTCACATTCCTCAGTATTAAAGTAGCTTAAAGGAAGTTTCTGTAATGTACTCTTGCGACTCAGGTTCATGGAGTAATGGAGATGTCCAGAATAAATGTCTTAATATATAATTATAATTTATGCCAGTTTAATGCAGGAACAACTATTTTGAAAACTCTCACTTACTAGTATTCTAAGATTTCTAAGATTAACATAACTATTTTTTATAAACTAAAATCATAACATTGCGAAGCAATATAATAATTAGAAATTGATGTTAGTAAATTAAGGCAACATTTTCGAAGGATAATTCCATAAGAGGAGATATGTCATTTTGAAGATCATTATAAAGGAACATGGTTTGTAAAGAACCTACACATGAAGAGCTAAAAAAAGTATAGTGCACCTGAATCGTGTCGCATTTAGCAAACGATCCCTCATAAACACCTACCAGTTTTTATCATTCAATCACCCAAATCTGAGGGCATGGGCATAAGTAAAATAATCTGTGCATAGACAATCATCTGTGCATCTGTATAAATACAACTGTAACTTATGCATATAGTCGTTAAGCAAGATGGTACAAATGAAGCACTTTTGAATTTCAGAAGGGATAAAATTTCTTGAAAATCTTAATTAAACATTAAATAACATAGTCTATGCAAGATGCCTTTCCTAACTACAGCACCATTTAGTATCCTTTCTATCGCATTTATTTGCAAATACTTATCATATTTGCCATTTCAGTTTCTGGCTGATTTAAATGTAGTAATTGATAAAATATATTATTACCTATTTTAATTAAAACTGTGTTCACTTTTGTATTCATTCATTTTTGTCATTTTTTTCATTTGATTCAGTCTTATTTTTAATTGGATAATGCATATTAAAGAAGAAAGTGCAGAGGTGATAGTGAAACTTTATATGTTTCGGAAGAATATATTAATTTATTCTTGAATTTTTGTTACTATCAGTATTACTTAGTAATTGTCAATGAATTTTATTTTCACTGAGGAAAAAGCTGACATTTTTATTTTCCTATTTTATTTGTTATTGAAGGTGCGAATATAGCGAAAGTGTCCATTGAGCAGAAAAAAGTAGAAAACATTGAAAGAAGGAATAAAATAGAAAAATCTGGAAAAGGAATCAAACATGTGGGAAGATTAAGAAAAGCAGAAAGATCAACAGAACAGGAAGCAAGAAGCAGAAAGTGTCGGCCGTGGGGGTTGATCCTTAAACAAGGAATATATCCTCAGAACGCACAGAGGGTCATCACTTTACGGGGAAAAAGCGATTTTGATTTTTCATTGAATATAACTATTTCACTATACATCTGAGCATTCGAGAATTTTCCTTTGTGTATGTTATATGTTTGTAAGGCAAATAAAATATTGTTAAATTCATCTTTTTGAAGAAATCTTTTAAAAAATTTACAGTGGTTAGCTGGGGCTGACCACTGGTCCGAACTCCATATTGCGGATACAAATGCTGCGTAAGACTTGGTAGTTTGTGTGTTCCTCCCCCTTTCTCGCTAATGTAATATCGGTCTAATCCCTGAGGTACATCTTGCACAACGCTCTCGCTGATAAGACGGCTAAATCAAAGAAGATGACTTTGACTAAACGAATAGCGGGTTCTGAAATTCATGATTAATCCTTGTGGAGCAAGTGTTCATTTGGTGGGATACATATTATATGACTTAAATAAATGTGACATTTCATTTTCATATTTAGTCGCATTTTATGAATTCGGTTTACTAATAAGGAAGAAGACTACTAGTGGACTTGGTAATTAATGTATCTTCGGTTCTCGCGATTTTCTATCAGTGTAAAGCAAATACAAGTGACTAACAGTTAGGAATGTCTTTAAGAAGGAATCTCTCCTAAGGCAGATCCACCCCAAAATGCTTTTTTCTTTTACAAATTGTCAGAAATGTGGTCACTCATGCATTTTCAGGATAAGTATCAAAGGACATTATTTGTGACCAGAAATGAAGTATAAGCAGATGTACAAATTATAGTATTGCACAAAACGTTTGACAGTTGTAAAAATAGACGTATCAATTTTAATAAAAATTTAAGCTTTTAGATAATAAAAGATATATTATTTCGTTCCATATATGTAAAATCGTTTCAAAAGTAAAGTATTAATGCGTTTAAGAGACATAAATGATGGGAAAAAAGATAACATTTTTTCTCTGTAAATACGTTCATTTTGTTTGAAATTAATAACAAATGAACAATGACCTTTGTTAATTATTCATGATCATCACGTACATCTCTTGCATTTATTATTACTGCTGCTTTCACGGAAACAATAATTTTGGTCCTAAAAACAATGTAACAGTTGCAGACTTTTCAATTTGGATGAATCTCGTATTGCGTAAATAATACGAGTGTATTGCATAATTGAATTTTGTCACGGTTTTATTACGGTAACCACATGAGACATAAATTAGAATTTATGATGAAATTGAAAAAGTTTAGAAATTATAAAACAGAGAAAAATACGATGTTTTCCTCGTCTTTATAATTTAAATGGTTCATTCTGTTACGAAATAAAAGCTTCTAAATTAGGGAAAGCTATAGTTCTTCAGTCAAACATTGTTTTAAAAATTACTGTTATCTGGGTTTTTTATTATTCCCGCTGTTACAAGTTATATGACAAAATCCTCAACTCGCCTGACTGTTTTCTCAATTTCGCAAATATAAGTTGACAAGTGGCACTGAAATCGCGTCATTTTCTTTGATTGTCTATAATCAATAAACACGACACGCAAAAGGATACGCAAATTATATAGCTGAGCTCAGCTGTAACAAATCATCTATCACTGAATAATGCACGCAAACATAATCGCTTATATCCTTTTGCAGTCAATGGCAATTTAATTCTGACTTTATATGTTACGTTTAATTTCAGTTTATTTTTCAAACGGAATTTTGAGATTTTTATTAATGGATAATTTGACAAGTGCATATTGCAACATTTTTGGGTTTCATATGATTATTTTCAAGAAATTTTTGAACCATTAAACAGAATTTTCTAAAATCATCTGTGGATTTCCGTGTACATTTAGTTAGTACATATTTAAAGGTTTTGGTTTGGTTTATTAGATTACGGCAAAGCACTCGAGGGCTATCTGCCTTAAGGATGCGATGCATTCGTGGAGGACTTTTTAAGAGAAACTGGTTCGTATACACGTTACACATGGGGAAAACCACGAAAACACCCATGCAGCCAGCCCGTTTGCGGGATTCGAACCTCGGACCGAACTACCCGGCCGCTGGTGGGCCCATATTTAAAGGAGATTTCCTTACAGTTTGAAACCTCTTTCAGTTCTAATTCAAGTGCCATAGAAGACATCAGATTAAAATAATTACTATTAAAATTTTATAAAAAATTGAAAAGTAAAATATTCCTTATAATAAAATGAAATTTACATTTTGGTGCGACGGGGGTATTTTACAGTATATAAATTCTACCCAACCATATTGCAACAAAATCTATCCATAATGTAACAAATCTTATCTCCAAGCTATTGTTAACATGAATTTGACTGCACAATATAGAGATTATTGTTTGAATTTTGAATCGTAAATAACAAGCTTTGTATTTATCCAACTATAAACTTCTTTAAATTTACAGCTTCATATTATGTAACCTTTTAGTAGTATTTATGGCGAACATATGTATTGTATATACTCGCGTATTTCCCTCTTTTCCTATTAATTTTACAGCTTGCTGTTTCTCAAGTAATGGCTTAATTGTTAAACATAGCACACTTGAAAGCACACGTAAAGACATATTGTTATTTTATTATGTATTTAAAAGAAATTATCAATTTCATTAGTATTTTTTTCTTTCGCTTACGCAAAATACTTCTAATAATTTGTGCATACATTTTACATTGTTATCATAAATCAGAAGTTTCTAAATCATATACTGGAAAAAACGTGAAGAAGTATACCAGAGGGAGAAATATGAGAGTAAATATGGCATACACTCCGAATATTACTTTCGGGTGTACTTTATCCCATATCTGACTTGATTAAAACAATTCTTTAATAATTCATATGTAGAAAGGGTAGAATTTGTATAGCTTTCTTTATTGATATACACACTCAGGTATGTTTTTCAATATGCATTTTTTAATTTTTTATTTTACGTTAAATATTTTTAATTAAATTAAAATTGATTTAATTTGTGTTTCCATTTTACATTACGCAGCTTTATTAAAGATGTACTTCCTGTAATTCAGCCTCACGTTGCGCAATACATTTTACCATAAACCTGCGTGTTCACGCTTTGGTTTGTCATTTAAAAAACGATGAATAAGTAAACTTTAAAAACCATGGCATTTTCATGCTCATTATTGGCTTATTTTAATTTAATAATTTGCTGTATTTTTTATTTTTATTACCAGGATGTGTTTTTTATGTATTTTTGAATGCACTTTAGTCGTGTTCATTTCAATTTTTTAACTATATTTTTATAAGCCTAATTTTTAGAATGGATGTTTTTGTTTTTTACATTTTTACTCCATTAATTTTCTACAGACATTCTGATGCTGAATAATAGTAGACTCATCAATTCACTCGCTATTTTGTAATCATTTAACTTATTCAAAAATTTCAAATTTGTAATTTGTTTTTTGCGAGCGAACTGGCTATGTCAAGATGTAGTTAATAGATACATATGGCACTCCCGAGGAGATATAAGTGGGATTTCTTTGTACGTTACTTTAATATTTTACATTGCTTCTTCTTTCTTACTTTTCAAACAAATGAAATTCATGAATTGTTTGTCTGATTGCTATAGTTAGGGTATTGCTGCATTCACACTTTTGAAACTTCACAGAAAATATTCACTTTTGCCTTCTATTCTACTTTTTAATTTATAGATGTATATTTGATGCTTATAGACTTTGTTTGTTTTCACTTTTGTCTTTACACGTTTCTATAATTCTCAAATTGGCTCTGGTAAGAAAAGCTTACAATATTAAGTACTTCCTTTTTGGTTTAAGTAAGCAAATTTAAATTTTTAATAATGTTATTGCAGCTTCATGTTGATTTTAAAATAAGTCGTGCATTATATTTTGCTTTTGTTTTATTTTTGAGTTTCGTTTTTCCTATGTATTTGCCTTATGTATACATACTCGAATATCCAGGCTGTTTCGAAAGCCCGATTGAATATCTCTTGAACGGATGCTTACATAACAGAGGCTATCACACTAGACAATTTTTGCCCCTAGTAAGGAACGGAAACATTTTCCTGGACCTTTTAGGATCAAAATATCATCGTGGGAAATATTTTTATAACTTATGTGTAGTGAAAGAAGCACACAAAATGTCCATTTACGTAGATCAAAATTGTCTTATATGATTAATTGAAATTCTGAGTAACCGCGTACTCATATTGGTAAAGATATGTTACCTTCATATACTAAGGTTTCTAATGAAAATTACTAAAATATTCTTTTTTACCTAAGATACAATTTTACAGAAGCAGGATTCAAATTCTATTTCTAATAAACTGTGAAACTACACATTTTTATCTTCTAGAATTCAGTTTTTATGCATTAACTCTGTTTGGCAGTTTTTCCTGGACCTATTTTGTGTATTAGGAACCGTATTTTGTTCTCCTTAGAACTTCCTTCACGGAGATCCTGTATTAAAAAACAAATTTCATATATATTTAATAAAAAGCATCACTTGACGAAAATTATCTTAGGATAAAAAATACCTTTTTCTTATTCATTTGTAGACTAGATCTAAGGGACTAGGACCAATAATTCAAGAAATATTCAACAAAGCAAAATAGTGACTCAATAACGGGAAATCTACCTGAACTACTTCAGCTAATCCAATTAACGACTTACAGCCTAGGCTTCCAAGAAGATTTTTTCAAAGCTGTGACAAACAATGGAGACAAGGATATTAAAAATTGTTATTTAAGCATTTAATTTAAGAGGCTTTATAAATAGGTTAGAGAATACGAGGCATTGCATCAACACAAAATCGCAGGTGCATGCAATCAAGACCAGAACACATTTTTATTCTATTTCGGGAGAGACAAGTGCATGTTTAAGCAACCCCCACACCTTTGGACGCCTATGGCTCACACTTGTTTAAAAATTGTAGGAGAAGGTATCAAAGTGGAACATCGAGTTTCGTACTTATTTTTTTTTTTCGGATTTAAATTTGATGCACCAGATGGAAATGTTTACTTCTCGCGACTCCATCTTAGGAAAAGGACCATTTCTTGATCAAATGATTGACAACCAGTGAGGAAATATATATATTGTACATATAATGTATTTGTAAATATAATGTCTTCGGAGTGTATTATCTGCCAGATGTATAATGTTAT